CAAGAAAAACAGTCTCTAAGGAAGGGAAATATGGTCACTAAAAGTCCAAATCTCGTCCCAATTAAGAAATAGCGACGGCAAAATGCTTGTCGCACCCCGTCCTAATAGCTTTCGTCGCAAAATCTTAACAAGGACGGACTCAAACATCTGGTCGTTAAACATCTATAGTGACGGTAAAAAAACTAGTCGTTATTAGGTATTTAGAGACGACATATCTCGTCCCAAATAGACGTTCTACATTAATGAGAAGAATTTATTTTCTGGTCGCTAAACCTTTTTCGCGATGAACAACTACCTGGTCCTAGATTATACTTTAGAGACACAATAGATTAATCATTAGAGACGAGTAGCTACCTGCTCTCTAATTGACCACCAATGGTCCTAGAGCTTGATATCACAGAATTATACATTTCATCAATAAATATAAAATTGCTACCAAAGGTGCCAATACAAAAACTCGATATATGTATCCAGAAAGATAGAAATCTAATTAATCTCAAAAAATCAGTTTACATCCATTGATTTTGGTTTCAACATTTTCTTAAAAAAATAGTTAGATAACCTTCAGAGCTAGACTATGATATCAAGTTTTGCATGACATCCGTAGCAAAATAATGAGGTTGTGCATCTTCTAATCTTGCATCTTGTCTTGAACTTCAACCTTCAAAATATTCAAAATTTTGAAAAGATGATAAGTAACTATTTGTATAGTACGTGTAAATCTATCACTAGATTAGGTATACGACTCACCCCCAAAAGTAGTTTAAATTTCATCAAGTATTATCCAGATACATGAACAAAGCTGCAAAAATATAAGAAACAATAATTAGAAAAGCCTTGAGATGCATTAACCAAGAATTAATCTGTTTCTAAAACCAAACAGAGGCAGAAATAAAAATTGGGCAAAAGTAAAAAAAACAGAGAAACTTAGCAGCTATGCAGAAAATTAAAACAAGAGGCAGAAAATGTTGTGCACAGCTGTGCAAAAAGTGTGTAAAAACTATAGGAAGAAGAAGTTGTGCAGAAAAAAAAAAACAGAGGATGAAGAGTTGTGCAACAATGGTTAATATCAAAAATGGAGGAAGAAGTTGTGCAACTGCAGTAATGTCGGAAACAAAGGAACAAGTTGTGCAACTATGGAAAATTTAGAAATTAATGTATCAAGTTAAAAATGTTGCATCTTTTAAAAAAAATGGTGACGCATCAGTATCTCACCCCATCGCCTTCTTAATGCCTCGTGCCTTCTCTAGCTCGCTGTTTTCATCCCTATATTATTTTAAGTTATTCAACACAGTAAGGTTACATAAGCCAATAAAAAGCAAATATCTTGATAAATGTTTGATATTGTAGTAATTTTAATCTAACCTATCGATAAAATACATCTCTCGCCTTTTTTTTTTCAGCAACTAAATGTCTTTATTACTCACGAGTAAGTTCATTACAGTGTCATAGCATAGTTAAATTACAATTTACCAATCTAGATTAGTATACTTAAGCCTAATCTTAAGGTATAGCTCAGTAGATGAAACCACAAGCCCTTGAATTAGGACTTGAGTTCCATGGATAGCTCTAAAGCCCTTGAATTAGAAGTTGAGTTCCATGGATAGCTCTAACGCCCTTGAATTAGAGTCGAGGTGCTAATGTTTACATGATTGCAATGGGAGCTTCTGTGTATTCTTTTTGGCGTGAAAGATATAATAGGATCTTTCCGCAAGAAAGGAGATCTGAAGATTCTATTGTGAGGGTTGTTATACATGGAATTTATTATCAAGCAAACATGGTGCCTAAGTTATCCATTCATATTACTAGGCTTAAATCATACTCTATTTGAACCATTGCTAATTTAGAACTGAGTGTTGGTGTTTTATTATACATGAACTGAACCATTATCTATATCTTTTTGCGTTGTTAAACGCCGCTGCTAACATTCACCGATATATTATATGTGAAGCAAGGGATCCTCCCTTTTGATTCGTGGTCATTCCTAGGCCCTGGTTGACCCTCTGTGTCATACTCTTAATCCAACCAACTCAATATACGATAATAACAGGGCAAAGAACAGGTCATTGATGCAACTGTTGGGAGATCCGAAACTCTCGCATACCTATAGAGAGTAGAACAAGGTAGCCGACCTCTTAGCCAAGGAAGGGGCCAAGAAGCGATTATTTGAGCACACAAGGATTTTGCAAGTTCCTCCGATGTTCGCAAATGAGGCAGTTTGGGCAGATAAACTAGGAACTACTTATTCAAGGGAAATTTCTACTCATAATAGTAATCTGATAGCAACCAATGATACCATATATACAGGGAATAATACTATTCCCTTATTTTGTAATGATACTTAAGCTTCTTTGCTAATAATATTATCCAGTTCACCAAAAAAAAAACATAACAGGGCAAAGAATTAATGCATGACTTCAGCCAGAATATTGAATTACAAGAAAAACAAAAAGTAAAGTAAAGAACTCTATAAACAGTTTGCAGGAACATAAAGAACTCTGTCAACAACATTTTGTATGAAAGTAAAGAACTTTAGTTTGATAAATTCAAGAACGTTAACACTTGCTCCATAAATTTTGTCATTCTATTTGACACTGAGCTATGACAAATGATTTTAAACGCAACAACTAAATTAGTAGCTTGCGACTAAAAAGGCAACTAGTTGATAGTTGGTGTGAGATCATGAATTTCCCTGAGTTCTTAACATGTATGAAGATTCAAATGTGGCCCCTCCTATTTTGTTTTTCCATAAGACACAAATCCATATCTTAGTTGTTTAGTTACATGGAAGAAAAATATATTAGCTTTTCAAAATGACCAGTCAGTATAAAATTTGATTGTTTCAACACACAATATATTACAAATTTGAATATACTTCAAAAAATAAAGGAAACGACCAGATTGAGTGAGTGAAGAAGAGTAACTAAAACAAAACAAACAACAAATCGAATCTAGAAAAGAAAAAATTAACTCGCGAAAGAGAAGGCATCCCTTAGATTCGAATAGATAGAAAATAAAGATTGAGGTAGAACTGTGATGACCTACAACCTGATCCTAAAAGTCCAAATCTAGTCCCTAAAGGTCCAATTAAATGACATTAAGTTATATAAACGATTATACATTAGTTTGTACTTAAGATGTTGAATATAGAAATGTGTATACAAGATTCCTTCTAGCCTACCCTGAGATAATACTAAGTATTTATACCCAAGAAAAATTCAAACAGTATACTTTATTACATAAGATCATCTAAAACTCTAGCTTGCGACTATACAAGATCACTGGTTGTACTTACTGGTTGGTGATCACAACTCTAACTCATTAACCCTAGAAGCTTAGTGTTTATTGAAACTTTAGTGTATGGCAATTTACCATCTGAGAACGAGCTGCCAGACTGGGAGTTCACAGTTTCACAACATTCAACAATTCCACAAGGGCTCTTGATGAACTCGTACTTTATGTTTCTAAGAAAATTTTAGTTAGTTTTTATTTAGCTTTGACACTCGCAAATTCTTCCCATGATTTAGAAAAGAGGAGTTGGCATGTATCCTTTTTTTGTAAAGTAAATGAGATCCTTTTTCTGTAAAGTAAAAGAGCTACTTCACGAGCAAGAGAAAAAAAGCTACTTCAAGAGTAAGAGGTTCACAATGAGTTCAATCTATAGTGACGAAGAAAAGTATTCACTACTGTTTACAATACCTTCATTCACTCATATTGCTACTTCAGTCCCAAAACATCAGCATTGAATATATAAACAAATATTCTATCCATGAAATAATTAGCTTTTTAAAAATTGATATGCAATATGTATACAACATGATTATCAAACTACGATTCTTTAGACACATAATACAGTAGAAACTTAAATATACTTCAATGTTCAAAAATAAAGAAAAATGTTCAGATTGTGCAAAATAAGAACAGTAACTCAAATAAAACAAACAATAATCTCTAAAGATAAAATAATTAGTGGAAGAGAGGCATACCTGAGATTCGAGTAGATAGAGTAGAATTATTAGGGAAAAACTTCGATGACCTGTGCTTTCTCTGTTTTGAGAAAGCATAAATCAAAACATTGAGAGTTCTGATAGTTGTTGTGCAGATCGACTCTAGCCGCTAGGGCAGAGTATGTATCTTTACTTTGTGACCCAGATGAAAACATCGAGAGTTCTAGGAATTGCCTTGCAGATCTATACTAGTAGCTAGGGCAAAGTAAGAACTACAGTATGTGTTTAGTTTGTGACGATGGGTCTAGAAAGAGATAGTTTTTGTGTTCTCTTTTAAGAATTTATTACTTTAGTATAATTTTGTGCCTAAGATTTCATCAAAACAACGTTTTTTATTTTTCCAATATTTTAATATTTTATTTTGCCACACTTTCTCCCGCATAAGACCCACAAATTTTAATTTAGGACCAGTTATTAATTTATTTAGGGACTAGATTTAATACCTTCCCAATAAAATATGGAATTAAGGACTAGCAGAAAATCTCGTCCCAATATATGTACTTTTAGAGACGAGATTATTAACTCGTCCCTAAATGTTGGTCT